AGTGACTATCTCCTTGACTGAGTCTTTCTCATCTGGGAAAAATCTGTGATTCAACATGATTGTCTCTGGTAGTGTTAGGCATCAAAGTAATGGGCCCATTTCAGAAACACTGTGGAGTGTCACACAATTCAACTAGTCAATATGAGTCAGATACAAGATGTCAGCATACCCAATGTAATGATATATTTATCCTTTGAACTGCTCCTACCATTTAGTCCTTTATTTTTCACAAGCATGTGATTCCTTACCAGTTATCCTTAGTACCATACAGGCTGCAGTGCCAACATTTTTATCAGTTAGACTTCAAAACACTTTTAGGTATAAGTACTGGAACATTTTGTGTCAGTGTAAAAATCATAAACATTGAAGGACTTTGAGATCACCCGGTCAGCATTTTTCAACAACCTGAAGTCTAAAGACAGCTTCACCTTTGATAGCAATATCACATACCATCTTTACCTTGGGCATGCCCGTGGGCTTTTACATTTCAAAAGGAAATCATACTTGGCTTTCATTTCTTTCATGTAATATTATTTCTGGGGCATCAAAAATGACAAAAAAATTCTCCCTTAGTGTAAACTGCAGAATTAGGTTATTTGTGCAATAGCAAAAAGAGCTTTGGTTTCACCTAGCCAAGGCATTACTGGTTTCATGGGATGAACCTCTCCAATCCTGCATCTTGTTGAGCCACCCTTTATTCAGCCACAGGGATATATATACTACTACTGCCACTCAATGTCCCCAGATAGAGCTGGGGAACTGTCATCTGTCTGTAGCATTCTCAACTTCTTGCCATTTTGCAGCTCCCAAAACACAACCTTAACTAACGCTCTGGTGGTTCAGTTGCTTTTCTGCTCTTTGCAACATGTTCTACTCACAGTATTTTTCCTGCCATAGCTTTATTCTGTTTCCACATAGCATTTTCTGGGTTCATGCAACTGCTGGAACTGTAGAGTTAGAGCAGTATGTGGAGTTTTAAGGCAGATTGCACATACAGATATTTGAGAGCTACACTATGACAGTCTGCTCTGCAACCCATAAAGTCAACCTGGACCTGAGAGGACAGCTTGGAATTTAATGCAGATGTATCATAGGATCATTTTCCACGAATTTTGCCCAAAATACCTGTGTTCTGAGCAACCACTCCTCCTGTCTTCCTCTTTGCTGCCTTGTTGCAACATTTGCAGTTTCACAGACATGTCCTTATTTAGCCAACCAGCTAACAGAAACACAGCTTTCCATTGAAGGCTAATTTAAAGTCTCAAGCACATGTCCTCAGCTGTTGCAAAATTATACCACTAAGTGCAGTAGGCTCTGTCATTTTACATCAGCTGAGAATCTACTTGCGACGGCAAAATAAGTGGATGCAGCTGCAGTTCTCTTCCTTGGGAGTTGCCCCTCGTACACAACAGATTGCAGGTGGCTGAGATCGTATTTAAAAAGGACAAGTTTTTGAGATTTTGTTTTCAAAGTATGTGGTGAAGTTCATTCGTGAACTCTCTCTGATGGCTGCCCAGGACTTGTAACCCACCATATCCCAACTCACAGGAAAGGATGTAGATGAATGTAGTTTAGAAAACAGATTACCAGATCACAAATGAAATATTATCCCTCATACTGTATCATGTGGCAGAAGAAAGTTGAACAATAAAATTGAACATGCGACCCCTTTTTTCTTCAAATAATACCGTTCTGTTCAACAGACTTAATTATCCCTAAAGACACATTTAATAATTGTTGGCCTGTCAATCAAAAGCCTTATTAGACATGCACATGACATCACATCACAGTCTAACAAATCTTCCTGCCAGTCAAAAACCTTTAAATAGATTAATCTGATTTCAGAGGCAAGTTTTGTGTTTGACCTTTTACTCAACATCTTCAAGGATGAAATTGGAGAGAAGCTGAGTGTTTTCTGTGTGGTACTGAGCTGGGACAATGGGCTCTGGGCTGTTCCTGAGTTTCCATCCTGGACACACTCTGCTTTATGCTGCAACATGGAGCCTAGAAAGGGGCTGTGCCTGGGATGTCTGAGTGACCTGGGGTGGATCTGAATTGCTACAGGAGAGCTCTTACTCACCTTTCTTCTAGCCTGTCTATACCACAGCATTAATACCCTGACTGCTTGGAGTATCAATGAAGCTTTACTTCACTGAGACACCTGCACTAGGTTTTGAGATGATACAGTCCATTGCATGCACACTGTGTACAGCCACTGCATTGTTGTGGCCATGCACTTCTCACAGTGACTGCTGTGCTCAGGGAGAGCCTAGAAGAGATATCTGTTTTGCTAAGGGAAAAGCATGCATGTGTGCCTGAACAGAGCAGGGACTGTACTGACAGCCCAGGGAGTTTGCTAGCTTGTGTGGCAGGGTGCCAAGGGTGGTAAGTAAATGCACTAATAACCACTGGGATTTGAAAGGCAACCCCGTCCAGATTTCCCAGACCAAACAGGCAGGCATGTCAAACTGCTCTACTGTTGTGCTGCCCTACACACACCACTCTGTGCCTGCCTGGCAGATGTGGCAGGCTTTGGAGATGCTGGATTTTCTTTGTTAGTGAGTGCAGGTCAACACAGATACTTCATGTATTCAAGGCATGCCTGCAAGTGCACCCCCAGATTCATATCCATAAATATAAAATTGTGACTGGCAATAACTTTCAGTTGCTTCTTGAATGGCATTTGGTGGAAAGCAATTAATGACATTTCTGTCTTCTGGAAACATCACCTGTCCTGCTGAGGTCTCCCAGTCATTTCTCTCTCCCTTCCCACAACCCCAGGCAACTTTGCTTCTTGTCTTTACAAGGAGGAACAGATATTGTAGAATGATGAATATCTCATTGCCCTTGACACCCTCTACACTGCTGTAGAGTGAAAAAGGTGCTGGCTCCCTAGTGGACCTAGCTGGTAAGTCAGAGCTTGGAGGGACCACTCCATTGCAAAACACTTGTCATCATGGTGGTGCCATACGCAGCTCTTTGAGATCTGTAGTTGGTTACTGAATCTGAAGAGGTTATAAATTTGTTTACCGATAGTGCATCAAGCTTCATGTACCCAGTTGCACTGGCACTTCAAGTCTCTTTTGAACTGAAATAAAAGCAAATTGCAGAGACTGAGGCTTTCAAGATAATATCATTTATCTTCTGAAAATCTGCTTTTTAGATGTCGGGCCAAACATTTCACAATAGCTAGAAAAGATCTTGTCTGGCATTGTTGTATTTTTATTGGTCTTTAATGTGACTTGAAAATATTAGACTGTATTGTGGTGTTAAATTTTCTATTGATTTTTCAGTCTGATAACACAAATGAAAAAAATACCTCCTAAAGCTGAGGGACTTTGGAGAAAGCCACACAACAAGTTTCCTTTGCATGTATAACTTCAAAGTGCAGGCAAACTTGAAGTCAGCAGGAAAAGTGTCAGTAAACAATGAGGATAAAGTACAGCCTCCATGTCTGAAGGAGACATTTTTCCCTTCTGAGAGAAGTTAAAACCAAAATGTTCACATCTGCAGGACAAAGTGGCCGTAGTGAGTTTGGATGTGCAAGCACCGTCTTGCCCAGTCAGTGTAAATGACTTCAATGCATTTCTCCTTGAAGACTGTGTACAGAAAAGATTGCTCACAGTTTTTTCTGTTTCAGAGGCAGTTCAAAATGCCCAGGTATATTCAGGTATCTTCCTTGGAAGTGTTGTCTACCAATGCAGCGCTAGTTGGCTCCTGTGGGAGATGAATGGCAGAGGAATGGCCCACTGGTGCAGTGAGTCAGCCCACAGTTAGCCCAAGATTTGTGTGGCATGTCCCTTACCCCAAGACCCCAAATTATGCCAAGGCTTTGTGTTTTCGAGCCTGTGAATTTGCTTTGCAGCCTTTCTTCTTTTTCTGCTTGGCATCTAGTCTTTGTGCAATAAAATTTCTTCTTTAAAGCTGCTAGAGTTTAACAGTTGCCCTTACAGTTAAAACAGCAACAAGGAAAACCTAACCAGACAAGCAAAAAAGGGTGACTTCTGAGGCTTTATGAAACTTTTATTGGAATAAAGATCTTTTGAGTCATTCTTTTCTGATTCACCCATGTGCAAGCAAGCCCCTTTTGCAGAGGAATTAGGCTGCACTCAATCCCTAGTAAATTCAGCTGATGAGATAGTTTCACTGACCCTCTCCGTCACGGCAGAGCTCTCACTGCCTGACCCTGGGGCATGTTGCTGTGACAGCTATGACTTAGCATAATTCTGCTCAGCACATGGGATGCTATGTGTCCAGGGGCTCATCAGGGATGAGTAGACACTTTATGAGCTTTCTGGAGCTTGTTTCCAAAAAGCCTCTTGCTCAAAAGTCATAATGAAGAAACTGGTCTCTATTGGAACAATCTTATTGCTTTTAGCTTGGGGTTGAAGCTTTAAACCGCTCTTCTCTCCCTTCCCCTTGGAGAAAGGGGAAAGGGTTGGAGACTAGCAACAGTCTGCAGGACCTATGGGGAAACCATAAAAAGAGTCTGATACTCCTGCTATCCTGGTCCGACAACTGCAATTATACTGAGGTGCACAACACTGCAGGGGGCAAAAATTGTGCAATTGTTGTCAGTTTTACTTTAATACTTTTTGTCGTGTTCCTCTAGACGATATTATGTGAATACTTTATAAATCTTTTCACTAAGGAATTAAAGAAGCAGCACATTGTATCTCTGCCACCATTGCAAAGTCTCCTTTTTTCCTGGGATAACGTAATTTGGTAGTGACCCCTTTCTTATGATGATGTCTGCTCCTTGTTATATTTATACACCTTATAGAATCCCCATCTTATAATAAATTACCTCTTCTTAATGATACATATTTTTTTTTGTACAAATATTATAGTCTTTCCTGAGTGATGTCCAGGAGTCTGGGGAGAAGAGACAAGTAAAATGCATTCTTCAAATGTTGCTTAGCAAAGCATGTCTTCATATGGGGATTTTTTTAAAATTAATCTCTTACACAAACAGGAAATCTTGATTTAATTCAGATGCCTTTTATTATGGCTTGAAGTTACCAACAGAACAACAAGGAATAAAGACGGATCTCTGTGCAAGAAAAAAGCCATGATATCCTGCCACTGAGGTTTTTCAGGGTTTTTGAAGTATGCTTAATTCAAACAGGAGCATAGAAGTACTCTTAATTCAACACAAGAGCAGTTTAACCCTGAAAGAGATTGTCCTACTCTCTCTACACCTGGCCATGGGGTCCCACTGCCCCTTCTGCACCACTTCCATACAGTGCATTGGATCAACATGAAATGAAATCATTGTTCCATAAGATGACTCACATTACAAATGTGTACCCTGGGATCCTGTCATTAAATCCCCCACAAGTGGTCCTCTAAAAGCCCTCCTCTTAAGGGTGCCAGAATAGGAAAGCAGAAGGCATTTACATTTCCCCTGAAGACCCAGTCCTTCCATCAGCCCTCAGAGCAATTCTGCTGACTAAATCTTCTATGTATTTGAATAATTTATCATATGAATAAATTCATTTATGCCAAACAAAGAGGTGGACTACTGGGATGCAGTAATGCCAACACAACAAAATTGAAGCTGGGGAGGTGGGGGAAATGAACCCTTAACAATGACAAGCAGTACCGTCTGCTCAGGAGGCAGGAGACAACTGTGACCACATCTGAAATATGAGAATGTGGGGAGGTACAGAGCAGCATCTAAAAAGGTCTTTAGAATAAGCAGAACTGATCAAAGAACAAGCTACTCTTTTTGAGCTGCAAAAATATTGTTGTTACAGAATGACTGAAAACTAAATTGTAAGTTTTATGTCTCATTCCAAATTTTGCAACTCAGAAAGTTACATTCCTGTGCCTTTTACTTCCCACTGACATTTAAGAAATAGATGTCTCAACTCCTGCCAAACTGTCTGTCACCCCAAGCCCTTGGCCTGAGAACTGATGAATGCATGTTACAGATGCATACAGAGCAAAGACTGAAAATATTAGAAGCCAGATCTCAACTAGTGTAAACTGGCTTGGGGCCAGCTTACACCAGCTGCTGATCTGCTCTGTAAGTGTCTTACAGTAGCAACAGTTGGAGGGATGATGGTCTGCATTCACTAAATGTTGGTGAGGGCTACCTAACTAGGTGTGCTTTGCTCACATTTGTAGCCAGGAGATTGTATTGAGCATTTTTAATATCCCTCTTTCTTTAGCTGTTCTTCAAAGAAATCATTACATGCCACAGTTAAAGCAGCAACCAGAATGAGAAATTCATTAAAATCCACTTCATTGTCTTTATTGGAGTCCAGATCTTTCATAATCTTATCAACCAGAAGGGGGTCCTTTTGGCCCTAAAGAGAAAGAAAAGTGACTTAGCTGTGCAGATCTTGAGTGCATAATGCTGACACATGTGGTGGGGCAACCCACTGCTATGACACAAGCCCCGGTGCTATTAAATATAAAGCTGCATGAAATATGCACCTGACTAGCAATATACCACTAGCCACAGTATTAAAAACATCAGTCTGGAGTCCCAAAAATGCACAGCAACAGAAACCAAAGACAATGCAGCTTTTAGAAGGCATACAGATACTAAACAGACACTGAAATTAATCAAACAGATTTTAGAAGCTTCTGAGCACTGATTTCTTTTGACATGATGGATCTATAATGTGTATTTCTCTGTATCATCCTTTAACTAATGGTACTTAGATATTCAACAAGCTATTTGTAAGTGGTCATATTATACATCCATTCACCACATTCAGAAGATCTCTATTTAGCAAACAACACATCCTACTCAGTGGGAGTAAGAGCAGTGAATCTCGTAATAATAAATCAATAGCCAAGATTGAAAGAAAATACAGTTCAAGGAAATGGATACAATGTAAAAAAATCCTGCTGGTGGTGATAGGGTCCACAACAATTTTTACAATTAAGAGGATACAGAAAAACAACTATGAATCTAGTCATTATTCCATAAAAATCATCTATGCTGTGTAATGCAGAACATAACAGATGCACAAAGAGATACCAAAGTCAGCAGCGTATCGCTGAAAGGATTTTCTTAGCATTTCTCTGCAGGGCACACAAGCAGCTATAGTGTGTCTGTGGCCATTGTGCACAAGCTAATTTCTTGTCTCATGAAAACTAGTTGTTGGATTTAATTCTCTGAAGGACTTATCTATGCCTTATTATATCCTGGCAGTGTTGAAGACCAGGTTGGACAGGGCTTTGAGCAACCTGATCTAGTGGAAGGTGTCCCTGCCCATGGCAGGGGGCTGGAACTAGGTGATCTTTAAGGTCCTTTCCAATCCAAACCATTCTATGATTAAAAATGAAACAAACAAAAAACTGATTAAAGCCTGATTTAGCATCGATTTTGCTATTGCTCCTGGGCTGCCCCTGCCCTCTTGCTCAAAAGCACAGAGGAGTAAGCAGCGCATAGGTACCCGGCTCGGCCACTGGTGGCACATGGCAGGGCACTGGGGCTAGACCATCCTCTGAAAACACACTTCTCAAATGGGACATTCGATCTCATCTCCTTCTGTCTGACTCCACAAATGCAGCTGTCATCTGAGAGACTGTGGCAGGATGAGCCTTGCAGAAGGAGATGATATTCCTGAACACTTGGATAGCTGCTTATCCCACCCATGAAACAGTTAACTCAAGAGGCTCAGGAGCTGTGTCTTACTGAAAGGAAGTCAGTGAGCTCATTAGTGAGGAGCTCCTTGAGTTCTCCTTTACTGAGCTTGTATCTGTCTCCTTCTTTTCCAGAGTAATGATGGAAAATCCTGATCAAGGTGTCCATTGCATCCTCCAGTGGTGTGGACATAGCAGTGGGCAGGAGAGCTGTAGGGTAAAGATCCAGTTAGTGACATTGCACAGCAGCCAAACCAAAGGCTGGTCTCAGGGAAGGGATGGAGAGCTAGCTGAAGAGAGAAATTGTTACCAGTACTGCAAAAAATGGGTTTTCAGTTGATCCATCCTGTCAGCTGTGTGTGAGCAAGGCTAGACTGCTATAAAGCAAATTGTTGTTCTGAACTCACTAGCAACTACTTCAAAAATGTAAATGGAAAGGAAGGCCTTTATTAAGAAAGTGAACTACTGTGCATCCATTTTGCAAAGCTGCTGTAAAAGGAAATCTCTCATACCCATAGCTGAAAACAGAGGGGAAATGAAGGCACACCCTCCTACCTGTTTATTCAAAATTTTTCTCAAGAAAATGAGATCAAAAAATAGCAGTGACCAAAGTAGATGCACATTTATACAGAAGGCTCCACACCATTTTCTTAGGTGGTTAGAGGAAAGTCACCAGCAGTAAGGATAGAATCATCAACTTCCAATTTATTTGGTCAAGTTTGCTTGGGCTGACCATTTTTCCTGTAAATTACCTGGAATAAACAAATGTGAGCAAGGCACCCTTGAGGGTTTGCTTCATCAAGATGGTACACAGGGAAGCACCACCAAGAAAAAAGATGGAAATGCAATTAGTTGATGACTCAAAAAAATAACAGTAGAAACCAGGTGAAAGGGAAACATTATGTTGATTAAGCCCCAGGAAAGAGGTTAAAAAGCCAGAATGAAATTCAAGGTAAGACTGGAGTCCTGAACAGTATCACGGTGCAAAGTTTAAGACTTACCTGCTTTACAAGCTAGCTGAGTTGTATGCAAGCAAATACTCAGATCACAGAAGGTGATGGTCACGTTCTTTTCAAAACCCATCCACAGGCTCTTGTTTATCAGTCTGAGAGGGTGGATTACACAGAGTCAGACAGATAATTGTCACAAGGATGACGGGGCTTCTCTTTCCCTCCGCATTTGCCTACTCTGTTCAATAAAAGCTGCTTGCTGTAAATGGGTCACTAAAATATTCACTAGGCAGAGCAGAAGGCTGTGTGTGGAACATACAAGATATTTTTTTTATCATTTGACCTTTTACAAATATGCCCATCCTGAAGGTCAAAATTAGAAAATGCCTGAAGGTCAAAATTAGAAAATGCTAACAGTCACCAAGTCAGTATAAAACAACTCTCCTCCATTTTCAAAATAACCCTTTATAGTTGGTCTCTGCACTTCTGCAGCTGAGAGTCTAAATGCCTTGGCACTGGCAGCCAGTGTTCAGAGATACTTGGGTACCTAGGGGTAGACTTGTAGGTGAGTTTGCCACAAATCCCTTGAGACATCTACATTTATAGTCAGATGTTTCTTGTAAGCCTAAAATGTCAGCTGTTGCTGAATGAAATTCTTGATGTAGTACATGTGTCCTCAGGAGGAAAGAAGGAAACCAGTTTCAGATGAAGGTATGACTGAAATGACAGAGTGCACCGATCAACAGACTTGGCTTCATTTTCATTAGTCCTACACAACAACTGTAGTTCATTATCTCTCTTTTAATAAATGATCTTCCCCCAGGAGAGCTTGCCCTGCCCCATGTCCAGGGACTTTCTGACCCCAGAGGTGATGTCTGGGGGACACAAGAAACAGCAATCTCACTATGGTAGGGCCTACTTACCACCCAAAATACCAAATAGCCAGTTAACATGACAACCACATGGAATGGAACACTCCTTGCTTCAGGTTTGTTTTCCCTCAATAAAGCCTTCTACCTGCTGCACACATGTGTCCAGCAAGCATAGCTATGCAGATAGACAGCAAGAGGACACATGGCTGTAGCTATTCTCTCCTTTATTCCAACCCGGGGGAAAAGAATGAGATGGGCATTGGTTTTAGCTATGAAAGCCTCAAGGCACTTGTAATTTTGAGTGCCACCGTAGATCTCAACCAACACTTCTGCCCGCCTCCTTTGCTTCCAGACATGATGTTTCTTCCGTCTGTGCCACTGTGACAAGTCTCTACAACCCGAGGGGTCTTGGCTGTGCTTCTGGGAGAAGGAGAAGTGGGGGCCACATAAAAAGGATGGATCCCAGCAGTATGGGAGGTGACGATGTGTAAAGTATTTCTGAGAAAGCAGGCAAGCTTTTCTGGTTAGAGGTCCCTGTGGATTATGCACAATACTGTGTGCAGGGTGTATGCCTTCACCTCCCATAACTGTGGTTGTGAGAGCTTACCAGGGATGGGGGGATCCAGTGCTAAGGTAAATTTTAGAAAAGGTCCGGGTGGAAACCAGCCTGGAAATGTTGATATGCAACAAGAGAAATCTAATCCCTCCTGGAGTCAGAAGAGAGTTGGGAGGGAGAGTTGCTCTCCGTACCTCTTCTCTATTTGGGGATAGATAATGGGTGCCCAGTTTTGTCCAGAGGGAGTGCCTGTCCTTCAGCAAGTACGGGGATCTAGCTGGACCATATGCAGCACATGGGAGAAGAACATGGGTGACATCAGGTGCAGCACAGCTCTCCCACTCAGATCTGGTCATTCTCTGTGTCTTTGCAGATGCTAAGAAAAAGCCTGAAGCCCCTTATGTAGCTACATCCATGCAGGGCTATGTTTTGCCTGTGATTTACTAGTGCTTATAAGTACTGATCAGAAATATTAAACAGATAGATAAACATCAAAATACTGTTGTGGGTTTTTTTTTTTTACATTTATTCAACAACAGTTTCACCCACAACCAGACAAAAAAACACGGCTGAGACAATACATAAGTATAAAATCCTTCTGTTTGTATATACATTACATTGATCCTCTGGCTGATGAATATTGCAAATTAATTATCTAAGCAGAGTCTACAGGAGGTGCAACTTTAAGCAAGCAGGTATAAACTTTCAGAGCTGCCATCCTTGGAACAGAAGAAAGAAGGGTTTCCACTATCATCACTAGGACATCAGCTCAATAATTTATACAGTGATATAATCTGTGCAGTCTCTTTTAATAGCTACTTACACTCCAGCTAATTGTGTAAGAAACACTATTCCATGCTAGTGAATTACATGTACACAGGGAACAGCTGTACTGAGCTTGTTTGTTAGGAGGTTCATCCAATTTGCTGTGTCCATCCCTTTCCTCCCTGTCTAGTGAAAAACTGCCAGCGGCTCCAGTGATGGTAGAGATCTAAATCTTGTGATGCAAGTCCCAGGGACTACTTAAATAAAATTCATTATTGTCAATCAGTTGCTTTTAATCCTTCATCTAAAACTCCAGTACAATCTGATTTTGTATGGTATCTAATAGGTACTGAAGATTACTAAAGTCAACGCAGCCTGTAGCACTTCTATATCAGGGCAAGACCCAACTCCATGTCAGCAACCACCATTCCCCCATCAATCCTCCCCTGCACTCTGGTTTCCACCAGGAACACAGGAGCAGCACCAGACACGAGGATGACAGAGGGAGTAGGACTGCAGCATGGCTGTAGACGTGGTGCCTTCCTCATTCATGAACAAACTTAGTTTGTCACAACCTGCCATACCACAGCAGTGTTGATGCTGGTGGTCCCATCTCCTGCTCAAAGCAGAATAATTACCAACACCAGACCAGGTTAGCCATGGCTTTGTCTAGATAAACCTTGAAAACCTCCAAGGATGGAGATTTCACAAGTTCTTGGGTATCCTGCTCTAGTGTTGCAATACCTCCCCGGGGAAGGTGTTTATACTAATAATATCCACTCTGAGCGTCCCAAGCTGCAGCTGTGGCCACTGGCTCTTTTTGCACCACTTACCACTACCACAAAGAGTCTGACTTTGTTGACTTTATAAATTCCCTTCAAATAGTCTTGCCTTCCCAGTCAAACTCAAAAATAAACCTGAAAGCCATTTGTCCCATGACTAGACCAATCTAAGCCCATGTTTTAGTGTCCCCTTCACATTACGTACTCCAGCTGTGCCCTTCTCCTAATGACTCTCTCAATATTAAAGTGTGCACTGCAAAATCAATGGCTGTCAGAAGCAGAAGGGCAGGTTTTTCACCTGGCGTGCCCTTCTATAGAGCTGAATTCTGCCATCTTTGCTCAAGTAGTAATAGATGCTAGGCCTACAGAAAGAGTCAGACATCCCATTTCACCAGAGGCTGCTGAGAGAGGCAGAGGTTGTTCCTTGCCCTGTAAACCTGAGAAAGGACCCAACAAGCTATGACCACTTCCTTTAATTTTATTCGGGGTAATGTAGAGGTGCACCCAGCTGGGAGGCTCTCTGGGACTCCTCCTCCCCTCCTACATGGAGATGGGGCAGTCAGATCAGAGGCAGAAAATGTTATTGCTGGTCTCTGCTCCTCATCAAGCTGAGCAGAGTTCTGCCCTGTGTGAAAGCAGTCAGCCCTTGACATAGATCAGCAGCCTTCTTCCTCCACAGCTGGGAACAAACAGCTTTGGCTGCTTCACCAAGATTTTTCCTCGGTCTCTTCTTGAGACAACATGACACAGGCTGCCTTTAAGCCAGAGCAACCTATAAAGCGACAGTCTAAACCACAGTAAAGTACTGCACAGATTAAGTGGGAGGCTCTCACATTTAGGGCATCTGGTTTTCAACAATTCCAGAATGCACGTGGGGAATATTTTCTCACAAATAACTATTGCACTGGGAAAGGCAAGTCAGCTTCCCACCCACATCCTGCCATTATTTATTTTTCCCAAATGCATACTGGTTTTGGGATGCACGTGTTTTGAATCTATGTTATACACCAAAAGTGGCAAAAGGTGTGATGGGAAGCAACTGCAAGTTTCAGAAGGACAGATATACTATACACAAAAAAATTTACATTAGATTAGATCTTAGAGTAAATATCTTATTAATATAGACTAAAGAGTTTATAAGAGACTTACATTTGAACCCCTTAAGCCATAATGAACATTTTTCATTTTTAGGATTGTTAGCATTTTCATTTCTGTTTTGTTTTCATATCTGGGTGTTTGATTTACCCCTTTACATCAGGCATATCTCCCTTCCCCATAGATTCTGGTTCACCTCTTCAACACTGTTTTAACTGCTCTGATTCCACGCAGCAGAATAGCAAAGAGCTATTAAAACTCTTGCTAATAGCTTTTACCACCTAAATTTTGTGGTTTACTCTGTAGGTATCTTTTTTAGTGTGTTACACTTGAAGGGCTGCTCAACTGAAGCGTATCCTAATCTCATTCTCTGCTGAGTCGTGTTTTGGACAAGATTGTACACTTCTTTTCCAAATATGTAAATGACTTCTTCATTGAAATGTCCAGATCACTGAACTCTGCTTATTCCCACAGCGGTAATTTCTCTTGTGATACTTGTTTAGGACAGAAATTGGAGCATTATCTGTACTAGAGGTACTGATTTAAGTTACTACCTACTGTTGCCTTCTTCTCCCAGAAAATCAGCCACCATATCCTCCCTCTGTGAGCAACCAGCCATTACTAGTCTGTGAAGGCAATATCACCATTGTATAGGAATGTATTGTTGTCTGCAAAATAGTCTAGAAAGACTTCATTAACCCTAAACTGGAGTTCTGAAGTGATATTCTGACTATATAATCCTTTCTTCCCCATCAGCCTCTGAAGCAGGTGTATGAACCCAGCCATTTATCAGTGAAACCGTTTATTACTTTAATGCACTCTATCTACACCAAGGAAAAATACCAAAATAGTGTAAAACACTCTGGTGTCAACCCAACAGTCAGGGCCAGCTCTGCCTTAGATAGCAGCAGGGTGCCCTGTTATATAGCAGCTCTCTCCCCCCAACCCTGTAACCAGAGAACACTCACCCAGTGCCAGCTGGCTTTGGTAGCTCATGTTACACATAGAATTTGGCAATATGTCACCTGAACGAAGTCAAAACAATAATCCCCTTTTTGTTAAATCCACCAATCAATAAGGCAAATCCACCCTTTTGAGTCATGCTGGTTCTGACCAATGCATGTCTCTTCCTAATTCGAACTTGC